TCAACCTTCAAGCTTATTACCATGGAAATATTTTGAGCTCTTACATATGTAGTAATAGTGACTTAATTAAACATTCTTTCTCTAATCTCATTTGAATATATTAACATTATCCAGTATATGTAGCTTTTGTTCATGAAATGGTGTATCAGTATGAACTCCCTGTGAACGAATTAGTTTCGAATCTTAATTCCATTACTGTCTTCATATAAGTTTCAAGAACTTTATGGGTGCTAACAAAAACGAATGAGTATGGTGATTCCTACTCCCATCCCCCAGTGTAATTTTATGACTTCATAAACTCTCATTGGCTGTTGAGGAATATGTACTGCAGAGGAGTATTGAACTATAGTATTTCCATGGATTTCTCCCATCAAGGAAGAAGAGTATCAATAGCAAACTCTCTGAGAAGGGTTTATAGAAGGATATTTTATTTGGAAAGAGAGAAAAACCTTAAAAACTACCAGTCTTCACAATTACCTGATGATAAATTTTTAAAAAAAGGTTTTTGCCAACTGGCCAGTGCAAGGATTGAACCCTGGATTTTGGTGTTATCAGCACCACACTCTAACCAACTGAGCTAACTGGCCAACCCTAATTTTTAAAAATAATAGTAATAAATGTTACCTGGTAATTTACATGATGGAGTTAACAGTGTCTGGAAAAATAGTTTCGGAGTAATTGTTCCCAAGCCAACAGACCTTGTGTGTTAAAGTAATGAAAAACTAAGTTTATCAACAGCAATTCTGGTCATCAAGAATTAGGTTTTAAGTTATCAAATATATTTTTACACACACACAAAAAAACCGGGGGGTGGGGTGGGGAAGAAGATATAACAACTATACTTTCATGAAGTTGTTACAACAAGCAAACGGAAAGGACATTCTTGGGGGGGAGGGGAGAGAGGGAGGAGGGAGGGAGGTGTCGGTGATGGGCCATAATAATCATATACAGTGTATATTGACAAAATAAAAATTTAACAAAAAAATAAATAAATAAATAAATAAACATTCTTGGGGGGGAGGGGAGAGAGGGAGGAGGGAGGGAGGTGTCGGTGATGGGCCATAATAATCATATACAGTGTATATTGACAAAATAAAAATTTAACAACAACAACAACAAAAGTATATTTTTAAGATTTGAGATGTGCCCACTACACAAAGTTAAAAAAATACTTTGTGGCTATATAATAAAAATGTCTTTATGTACAAGAAGATGCATGCTGAAGTATTTAAGGCTGAAATGTCATTATGACTCTAATTTATATTTTCAACTGATTTAGGGAAAAAATTATGGTACACACATTGAGAGAGAGTGTGTGTACAAATGAGACAAAATGTTAAAAAAGGAAAAAAAAACTAAATGCCACACTTCACTTCTTTCATTTAATGAAATTCTTTGTTGTAACTGTCCAATAACTCCATCATTTATTTAAATGTGTTTACCCAAACAATTGGAATTTATTTTGAGTTGTTCTTTATAATATTTGCCATCTTTTTCCAAGCAGAATTAAACCATTTTAATAATTTGATGGTTTGTTTTTGAACAGCATATATTTAGTTTAGTGATAGTAAAATGTCCTTAGCTATAGATCTTTCATATATTTTCATATTAAAATGAACATAAAGTGCATGTGATGTCCAAGGTGCCATTTATTTCTTCATTACACCTCTGGCTTTTCCTTAGCACGTGACTCTGCGCCGTTTGAAATGTTTTTTCCTGACTGACATTTACGTACTGAATAACTCTAATTTTCAGGAACATTTATGGTTTTCTTTCAACATTTTTCTCTGTAAGCATATTCTGAAAGTATGTATTAATATCTATATCTAGTCCCAACACAACTGTCTGTGTTCTCTTGATCTAATTATTTACTAACTTTTTAGAACTTTCTAGAGTAAATCTTTTTGCTTTTACCTTCAAGCATTTTGCTTTATCTTACAAATCTTCTGAGACTGAATAATTTTATCTTGCTGTTTATACTGCTATCTTAAAGGTGTTTCAACCTATTTCACTGGCAGCGATATCCTCTGTGACAGATAGTCTCAGTTACAGTAACTTAATTCTAAAATGGTATTGTAATTTATATAGTGGTAAAGCAAAATATTTCATGCTTATCACCAGAATTATAACTTTAAAAATAAAATCTCACTTAGGATTTATTTCATGTAATGGGACAAATGTACAGAATTGCATTGATAAATATTACATGCAATTATATAACCTTGACATCTCTGTTTGTTTAGTTCTTTTATCCTGTTTAATGTGATATGCGGGCTTTCAGCAGTCATTAACAGAAATGATGGCAATGACTCGGACATTAATAATGTCCACCAAGCTCCAGCACATTTACTCTAGATATTACCTCAATACAGCCTTTAATGAGAATTTTAGACTCTAATTTGGTAAGTAAAATGAACTAGATCAAAGAATGGTCTGAAATTGACACCTTTATTAAGAAAAGGGCTATGTGGTTGTAAGGAAAATGAATTCTAGGTTCAGAAAAAGCTCACACATTTCAGCATTCACATTTATTGAAGAAACATGGAGTTTCTTCAGTTGTACAATTTGGCAATTAATTTGTTTATTCATTCATTTAGTAAATGTGTGTTGAGCTGGTTAGTAGGTGCAGTTCTAGGCACTGGAGCTAAAGTGACTGAGAAGGACAAAGTCCCTGACCTCAAGGGGCTTACATCCTATTGGGGAGACAAAACAAACAAGTGGATACATAATGTAAAGTCAGATAGCAATAAGTACTGTGAAAAAATATTAAAGCAGAATAGGTATCAAATGACCAGGATAGGAAGGCATTGTTTCATATGGGGCAGTTACAAAGTGCTGTTTGAGGACGTGACATCTGAAGGGAAGAGAAGAAACCAGTTGGTTGGTGAAAAAGGTTCCAGGTAGAGGGAAAAGCAAGTTCAAAAGCCTTAATGGATATGTCCGTGAAGAGTAAATGAAAATCTGTAAAGTTTGTTGGCACAAAGTTAAGTGCTTATTAGATGTTAGATATTATTTTAAAATAATAAGTGCAGATAATTAATTCCATATGTTATCATGTGTGTTCTTTGCTATAATGTACGTCTTCCTTTTCATCTGGGTCATTTTCCTTCTCTTGAATTCCATAGTATTCATCCTATTCTAAGAGCCTTTAGGTTGCCCTATTTTTAATTTGTGGTGAGTTAAACCCTACTTGCAATATTTCAATGTGACCGCTGTCAGAGGTCCTGTTTTCTTGGTCTTTGCCCTTTTGATCAATATTTATGTACTCTGCGCAATGCCAAATTGATTCTCTTGCTAAGTATTGTGCAACGTCCCTCTTTAAGCAGAAAATCCACAACTTTCCTGTGATGATGATGATGTTGATGTGCCTACCCTGTGGGGACCTATTTTTTTGTGTGTGTGTTTATGTGTGTGCGTGCAGGAGAGATGGGTGGTTAAAAATAATGGTGTCAAGATGCCATTTGGAAGATAGTGCTTCCAAGAAACACAGAAAATCCAACTGTACCCCACTCCTGTCACCGCCATTTCTCACCATGGTTTCTTCTATATACTTCCCTTTATGCTCCTAGAAGTCAGAGCAAAGTGGCTGTCTACCTCTGTCTCTAGTTGTGAAGCCACTACCAGAGCTCAACTCACTTTTATTTTATTTCTTTCTAGTTTGGCTGTAAAACATTTATTTCTAAAATTATCAGTCTGGGTCCAATCATAGAGAAAAACCCACATAGTAATTTGCACAGGGAATATTTATATAAAGAATTATTAAATATAGTAGGGGGTTGAAGTAATGGAGGGATTGGCTAGTATGAAATAAAGATGTGTTAGTCAGCTCAGGCTGCCATAATAAAATACCACAGACTGGGTGGCTTAAACAACATAAATTCATTTCTCACAGTTCTGGTGGCTGGGAAGTCCAATATCAAGTCCAATAATAAGCTGATTTGTATCTAGGAATGGCTCTCTTTATGGTTTGCCCATGGCTGCTTTCTTGCTGTGTGCTCACATGACCTTTTCTTTGTGAGCACAGGAGGGGAGGAAGAAAGAGCAAGCTCTCTGGTACCTTTCCTTACAAGAGACCTAATCTTATCAGGAGGGTCCCACCCGCAAGACCTCATCTAAGCCTAACTGCTTCCCCCAAAGGCCCCATCCTCAACTACTATCGCATTGGGCATATGTGAATTGGTGGGGAGGGCGAGGTTTACAAACATTTATAACACAGTCCGTATCAAATGACAGCCCTAAAGAATAGAGGAATGATTGCCATTACTTCTAGGGCTGAGATAGAGCACCCAAGGAAAAGTTCCTATCCTTTTATCCCCAGATCTGAGATCCAAACCTTATTGGGAAGGTATAATCATAACTTGATGAATAGCAGAAGTCACCGAGTTCCTCCACTAGCAGAACTTGTTGGAAATCTGTTCTCTGGAAGTTGACAGACATCCTCCTCTAAGGTCCCTGGGAAAGCTATTCATGGGAGCATATTTCACCTGAGACTCTGCTAAACCATCACCAAGTTGCTGGCTACTCTGCCCTGCAGAAGCCAGGTGCAGGAAAAGCCTTGCACACTGCAAAAGCCTGCTAAGTGAGCATCCTGGAACTAGGAAGCAAAACCCTTTCCTTCTGCAATCTCTCTCCAGCACCCTCTACTAACAAAACTTCAGTGCCAGCTAGTGAAGGAAAAATATTTGAAAGGCTCAGATCTATTTTAACAGAGCAGGCAAAAAGGTATATTTAGAAGTGAAAGGCAATAACTCAATAACCAGCACACTGGAACAAACTAATAAATACCAGCAGTCACAGATTAAGTGAAGAATAAATTGTTAGCAGAGTAAATTGCTTTTCAGAGCCATCCTCAGTTTTATTCATTTCCATATCCTGTGTGCCTAGAGTCAAATCTGACCCAATATACATGATCAGTAAGTATTTGTTGAATGAATGAATGAACTGATTGCTTAATTTTTTCTCTAATGTTTTTTCTTTCTCTTTTTTTTACTATAGCTGATGGATGCACTGATTGGTCCATCGATATCAAGAAATACCAAGTTTTGGTGGGAGAGCCGGTTCGAATCAAATGTGCACTTTTTTATGGTTATATTAGAGCAAATTACTCCCTTGCCCAAAGTGCTGGACTCAGTTTGATGTGGTACAAAAGCTCTGGTCCTGGAGACTTTGAAGAGCCGATAGCCTTTGATGGAAGTAGAATGAGCAAAGAAGAAGACTCCATTTGGTTCCGGCCAACGTTGCTACAGGACAGTGGTCTCTACGCATGTGTGATCAGGTATCCTTTTAATTCTGTTACTGCTGAATCAATGAAATCACATACTGCTTTCTCATACTTAAATTTTGCTGCTATCTTTTTCACCTAAAGGTATTGTCTCAATATTTGTGTGTGTTGCTGCTTTCTGTAATTTACTCTAAATCATAAAAAAGATGGGATTGGAATTTATATTGAGACATTATTTCTAGCTTATGGAGAAAAGAGATACCATCTGGGTATCTACTTATGTTGCCAGAAATTACTGAAGACTATGAAATAAAATTTATGAAGGAGGTGAAATGTTGCAAATAAAATGTAAGCAAAGACTTGCAGAAAGGATGCATAGTTTATTGCTAAATGGGTTGTAACGTTTTGTTATTGCCCTTCACAGACAGATAGAGCACAGATACCTCTGTTTCACACACATCTGCAAAGATGATTTAGGTAATGTGTGTATGTGCCCAAGAAGAGGAGTGTAGCATTGCCATGTTAGGGAATACGAAGGTTGTGTTCCAGATCATTTTAACTAAAACTGACAGGTCAATACAAAAATTTTCCCAAGTCTCTCAGGGACAATACCAAAATTAATTTAAAAAGTCTCTGCTTTTATTCCCCAAAAAACTCATCGCACATCTACAAATCTTTGTCAGCTTATGGAAGAGACATATGTAGTTTGTTTAATGATAACACGTTGAAACAGTATCCATGTTACACATTAGCAGTTAAAAATCTCAGTTTAAGCATTTAGCCCTTCATGGATTGTGAATCACACCCTGCATGAGTGATCGTGAATGTCATTAGACTATTAGAACATTAGCAAGCTGGGTACAGGCATATAGAGAGTGTGTTTAAATCTGTTTATTTGGCTCTCTGCATTTCAGCTTATTCAGATAAATAAAGAAAAAACTAAAGCAGCTGATTTTCAACTCGGAGAAAGTCTCAGAATCACCTAGTGTGTTTTTCAAGTAAAAATTTGACTTCCACTTATGAAATTCTTCTCGGCACCTATCGCTCCTCTGTCATAGGCGCTTGCCTGTCTCTCACTGTTGCCTGTAAGAATTACCTTTATGCTGAGCCGTGGCTACAGGTGTGTCAGGGCATTAAAACAGGACAAAGTCACATAAAAGTTAAACAGAAATGTACCTTTTTAATGCTGACAACATATATCATAAGTTAGAGTTAATGTTGGAAAATATAAATAAATATTCATAAAGGGTCGTGGTCGGAAAAAGTGTCTAATGGATTTTAAAAGAACAAGTGCAATGTCTTGTTCTTTCTCTTAGGGTCTACCCCTCCTTCTATGTTCAAACATAACTCTTAATAAAAGTAGAAGTTTGTAGAGGCATCGATAAATGTCATACTAGTGCAGTTAAAGAGTACTGTTGCGACAGGCTATATTCTCACTCGACCAATAGTAATTTGATTTGAATTTCATATCTGCTGTGTTTCTTTCAAAAAATCATTATTTCTGATTGCTCGTGCGTGTGTAGAGGTGATTCTTCAAATGCGTGTCCTCATTTATCTGAGATTAAAATCGAGTTGAATGCCTGTAGTCTAACACTTCATTTCATTCATTACTTATTGTTGATGAAAAAATAATGATGTTTTCACATTAATAATCTGAATTTCGAAAGCACTGAGTTTGCAATTCTTTGACTTGTTTAAATATACACTGTGATCCAGTGCTCTGAGAAACTGCATCAAAATGCATCTGAATTTACAGTTGCAATAATGAATGAAAGGTTGAAATGTTTCCAAAAGGATGACATTTGCCCCTTGTTCATATGTCTACATTTTAATGGGAGGTGAAACTAAAAGACAAACACCTTAAAGTTTTATGTGTGTGAAATGGCATTCTAGAGAAAGTGATAAGCTGCAGAAAGAGATACTTTTGTCACTGAAATTCAAATACACCAATTGATTTGAAGCTAGTTTTACTGTGGCTTCCTTTTCCAATTTAGAAAGTGGTACCCCAAATATTTATAAACAGCATTTGAAATAACATGAATTGGTGTTGACATGAAGGGAGCCCAAGTATTGTTAGTTGAGTCACTGACATTTTGGTACATTATTAGTTAGCAGGCCACAAAACTGTCACCATTTGTTTTTAAATAATCCACTTGCAAAGAATTTTGGAAGTTTGAAAATGTTAGCTTCTGTATTAGTCCATTTCTGTGGCCTATAACAAAATACCTGGAACTGGGTGATTTATAAGGAAAATGAAATTTATTGTTTACAGTTTCAGAGGCTGGGAAGTCCAGAGTCTAGGGAACACAGTTGGTAAAGGCTTTGGTGGTGGTGACAGTGACCTAGGGGTCTCATACTGCAAAATGGTGTAAACAGAGACAGCAGAGAGAGCCTAACCTCCCCATTCACACTTCTTTTAAAGCCCTCAGAACCATGCCCCTGACCACCATTTTTAATCCATTCACTAGAGCATGGTCCTACAATCCAATCACCTCTTCACAGCCCCACCCTTCAGTTACCATAATAGGACTTCCCAACTTCTTAACAGTCAGAGTGGGGACCAAGTTTCTAATACATAAAACTTGGGAGACACAATTCAAGCTTTAGTGAATTTGGGTGTGGGGGGGGGGGGCATTCAATCCACTACAGTTTCTATTCAAAGATTCTAGTTTTTTGATAAGTGTTCTGGGTATTAACTTGTCAATGAAATGGTTTAACAAGACTTTCATGCACAGCTAATTTGCTTTTAAACCTAAATATGTGCAATTAAATGGTGTAAATAATAGCAGCGCCTGAGAGTACCATCATGAAATGAACTAGATTGCTCCTACTCCCTTCCTTCCATATCTGTTTTGGACAGTATAATACAACATGATACTTTGCTCCATACTACTTGGCCTTTTAACTCAGTTTTCTCCTTCTTGAGTTTTTAGTTTAGTTTTTACACGACAAGCTGAGTGGCGATGAGCTGTGTGACAATTTCTTTTATTTATTTTATTGTCATCTAAAAGAATGATCTTTATTTTACAAAAAATAAAATTTCCTAAACTTTTTTTCCCTTTTTCTGGTGGTAAAAGATGTATGACATAAGGATTGCTATTTTAAGCCTTTTTAAACATACAAATGCATGGAATTAATTACATTCGCAATGCAGTGATCATATCAGGATATTTAGCATGTGCATCACCTGAAAAAAATTGTTCCTATACTTTTGACCTCTAACTTTTTAATTCTCCTTCTCAGAGTTATGCCCTATTAGCAGTTTCATATGCAGAGCTAGCTGGTGCACATGTAAGCATTGCACTGCTCCACAAATGGTAGCAGACTAAGTTGTTTAGCACCCCATTTTTAATTTGTTTCATTTTGAGATAGTTGCATATTCATATTCAATTGCAAGAAATTATATAGAGAGATCCCATGTATCCTGTACTCAGCATCACTCAATGTTAACATTTTGCAAAACTGTAGAACAGTATCACAATCAAGATACTGACATTGATATGGTCAAGATACAGAACAATGCCATTACCACAAGGTTCCTTCCTGTTGTCCTTTTACAGCTATATCCATTTTTACCCAACCCCAATTTCAAACCCCCAGCAACCACTGATCTGTTCTATTTATTTACAATTTTGTCAATTCAATGATGCAATATAAATGGAATCATACAGTATATATCCTTTTAGAATTGGATTCTTCACTCAGCACAATTCCTTTGAAATTTATCTAAGTCGTTGCATGTATCCATAGTTCATTCCTTTTTATTGCTGAGTAGTATTCCGTAGTATGGACCACAGTGTTTATTCACTCATTGAAGGACATCTGGGTTCATTCCAATTTTTGGCTATTAAAAATAAAGCTCCTATGAACATTCATGTACCATATTTTGGTGGACATACATTTTAATTTTTCTGAGAGTGAATATGGGCTGTATGATAGTTGCATGTTTAGTTTTATAAGAAACTGCCAAAACATTTTAGGAAGTACCATTTTGCATTCCCATCAGCAATGTATGAATGATCCATTTTCTCCACATCCTTGCAATATCTAGTGTTATCACTATTTTTTAATTCAAAATATCTTAACATTTACTTGTACATATTTGTGGGGTACAATGTGTTATTTCAATACAGGCATATACTGCACAATGAATCACTTAGGGTAGACAGCATAGTTTTGTACCCATTAGTCCACCACTTCTCCTTCCCTCACCCCAGCCTCTGGTAACCATTACTCTACTCTCTACATCTATGACAACCACTTAGTTTTTATTTTTATTTATATTTTCAGAATCCACATATGAGTGAGATCATGCAGTATTTGTCTCTTCATGCCTGACGTACTTCACTTAACATGATGATTTCCAGTTCCATTGAGGTTGCTGCAAATGATAGGATATCATTTTTTTTTTTTAATAGCTGAGTGGTATTCCATTGTGTGTATATACCACAGCTCTTTTTAAACCTTTCATCTGTTTATGGACTTTTAGGTTGATTCCATCTCTTGGCTATTATTATTAGTGCTGTGACAAACATGGGAGTGCAAGTGTCTTTTTGTTATACTGATTTCAATTCCTTTGGGTGTATACCCAGTCGTGAGATAGACGTGTTGTAGGGTAGATCTATTTTTTTTTTCTCTGAGGAATCTCCATACTATTTTCCACAATGGCTGTATCAATTAACATTCTCACTAACAATTTAAGAGGGTTCTATTTTCTCTGCATTCTCATCAGCATTTATTATTTTCTGTCTTGCTGATAATAGCCATTCTAACTAGGATGAGGTAATATCTCATTGCAGTTTTAATTTGCATTTCCTTAGTGATTAGTGATTTTGAGCATTTTTTCATGTGCTTGGCCATTTCTAAGTCTTCTTCTGACAAATGTCTGTTTAGGTCTTTTGCCCACTATTTTTAATTGTAGCCATTCTGGTAGGCATATCGTGATATCTCATTGTGATTTCAATTTACATTTCTCTAATGGCTAATAATGACTATCATATTTTCGTGTGCTGATTTGCCATCTCTACCCTCTTCAGTAAAGTGAGTGTTCATGG